AAAACCTCTCTTTTTTGTGAATTTTAGAAGAATTATTAAGAAAGAAAGGGTATCTTAAAGGCCAAAAAAAAAAAAAAAAAAAAAAAAAAAAAAAAAAAGAGTTTTTAGAAGTCTGGTGGACAAGAAAAATATGACTACATTTGAGTTCCTGATTCTATTTGTTTCTAAGGCCTAAGTGCGTTCTGGTCCTGGGTTTCTATGAGACTACGAGACTCCATGATAGCCTTAAAACAGATTCTCCTCTTAGCTTAAGTTACATCTAATTGCATTTCTGCAACCTTAACCTCACTGAACACCTTAAGAATCCATAACAGTGGAGAGCATACAAAACAAAGTTGCTCATTGTTCTTCAGAATGACTCTGGGCTTATTCTCTGTCACTGAGCTTCAGTATTTGTACAACCTATGCCCGTTTGAACTCTGTTTTTGGACGCCGTTCATCTATAGCAACATAATATTTTGTAGTCTTATATCTTATGGTCCTGACCCCTGCTCCCATTCAAACTCAACCAGAGACATCAGGGACATGAAGTCACCAAGGGCTCACATTCTTGCTTTAGAATTTTGAAGTAGATTGTAATGCTGGTGGCAGAAACAATGATTTGAGAAAAGAATTTGAGTTTTAAAGACTAGTTTCTAAGTATTAAGCCTGAAACCTGGAACCTGAATGGCTTAGGGCACAAAATTCATGATTGAAACAAAATATTGTAAATAGCATACTAATTGAAGAGCCAGGTTTTCCCACCTTCCATGGAGGCAGAGCCATAGCACACAAAAGAACCATAGGTATCCTTCTTTACAGAGAGGTCTAGGAGTATCACAGAGTCCTCACATTCCCCCACCATGGCATGGCATTTGGAACAAAGGAATCTTCTCTTATACGGCCAAGTGAGATGCAGGTATGGCAACAAGTTCCATAGAACTTAAGAAGGCCCAGTAGTCAGAATGATAAGGGATTTGTATCTGTAATATACTTTTTAAAAATTCTTAAACTTGATAATAAGAGGATAAATTACCAAATTAAAAAAAATAAGCAAAGAATGCAACCATTGGTGGTGGGAATGCAAAATGTTGCAGCTGCTTTGGAAGACTTGCAAAACTTTGAAACTTGCAAAACTAGAAATACTCTACCCATATGATCCAGCAGTCATGCTCCTTGCTATTTACCCAAAGGAACTGAAAATTTATACCCACAAAAAATTGCCTACAAGGGTTTATTGAAGCTTGATTCATAATTGCCCAAATTTGAAAGGAACCACGATGTCCTTCAGTACATGGAAAAGTAATTGGACTGGAAAAGTAAACTGTGGTATATCCAGATAATGCACTAGTATTTGGCACTAAAAAGAAATGAGCTAACAAGTCATGAAAAAACATGAAGGAAACTTAGATGCATATTACTAAGTGAAAGAAGTCAGTCACAAAAGACCATGTAGTATACAATTCCATTTATATGAAATTTCCAGAATAGGCAAATTGGGGGAAACAGAAAATAGATTAATGGTTGCCAAGGGCTAGGGAAAAGGAGTAATGGGGAATGGTTGCTATTAGGTATGCAGTTTCTTTTGAGGTAATGAAAATATTCTAAAATTAAATAACAGTGATGGTCACACAATTTTGTGAATGTACTGAAAACCACTGAATTTACACTAAAAGTCAATTTAATACCATATAAATTATATTTCAGCAAGGCTGTTGTTCAAAAATCAAATTATAGGGCGCCTGGGTGGCTCAGTTGGTTAAGCGACTGCCTTCAGCTCAGGTCATGATCCTGGAGTCTCGGGATCGAGTCCCGCATCGGGATCCCAGCACTACGGGGAGTCTGCTTCTCACTCTGACCTTCTCCTCGCTCATGCTCTCTCTCACTGTCTCTCTCTAAAAAAAAAAAAAAAAAAAAAAATCAAATTATAGAAGATTAATAAAAGTTACATTTGTCCACCTAAATATGTGGTTCAGGAGATTCATTCCCCTACAGCATGTGTTTGACAACGTGTATGTTAGTTCATAGACTCTGATTGGTCCAGATTCAGAACTAGAGATACTTAGATGGAAGAGCTCTAGGATATTCCTTGCTTTGCTGCTTACCACATAGAAGAATCCTGTTGGTATCATTCTGGAAACAAAATCCAGAATATAGTCAAAGCCAATGTGTTCGGTCCCTAGGGCTGCTGTAACCAAGTACCACAAACTGGGGACAGAAATTTATTGTCGCCCAGGTCTGGGGCTAGAAATCCAAGATGAAAGTGTTGGCAGAGTCGTACTCTGAAAGCTGAAGGGGAATCCTTCCTTGTCTCTTCCTAGCTTCTGATGTTTTACCAGCTATCTTTGATGTTCCTTGGCTTGCAGCTGCATAAATCCAATCTCTACCTTTGTCTTCACAAGATGTTCTTGCTGTTCTTCTTTTCTTGTCTCCGGTATCTTCACACAACCATCTTAGAAGGACACATCCAGTCTTATTGGATTATGAGCTCACCCTACTCCAGTATGATCTCATCTTAACTAATTATGTCTACAACAACTCTTTTTCCACATTAAGCCATGTTCTGAAGTACTAGGTGTGAAATACTGGAGGTTAGATTCAACATATCTTTTGGGGGATGGGCACAATTCAATCCTTGACAGCCAGAGATTCAATGGCAGAACAGACACTGAATGGATGCTTCTGATCAACTTTCTGAAGATGCCTGCCT